TTTCTATATTTTCCTTATAAAAACACTAAGACATTATGCACTCATCAGTGTCAAATGGCTCTTCAACCCAGGCATCTGCAGAATATAAGTTCTATTTGCACCTTATTCTTCCCGAGTTTTATTTTTATTTAAAAAAAAACCCACAATCTTTTTTGTCCGGGATTAGCAACTAGCCTGTTTCAAACCAGGCATGACCTTGTAAGAGTGTTACAACTGCAACAGCTCTAACACAATGAATGTAACTCAGTTTGCATTTTGCAGTTAAAACTAATTCATTCAGGGCTGTACCAGAGTCTTCAGGAGGTCAGAACAGAGCCTGTTGCCTGATCCAGACCTAAATTTCAATCCTCCTGAAGTTCAGTGGATTATCTGTATCTGGCATATTGACCCAGATTTTATGTTTAAAAAAAAATTATTCATTTACAACAGCTTGTAATACTAACAAGTACCCTTTAATGTGTCCTTAGTTGCGTATCATAAGAGTACATGTACCTGTTAAATCTAAATTAAATGAATGGATGAGACAGGAATTTGAAAAATCCTCCATAAAGTTGGGCAGAGCTGCTGAGGTTATTCATTCTTTTATCCTAAGGAAGACTGAGGAATTGGTGAGAATGACCCCCAAAGTTTTAAAAATGCTCATTGTTTTTAAAAAAAAGAAAGGGAAACATTACCTTCTTATCCCCCATTTCTTCACTTAAGCTCTAACTGTCCCACTGCCAACTGCATCTTTATTCTTTGTTTCCCCACTGAAACCAGATGCTCCCCAGCAGCAACCGTGTTTAGAAACCTTCAAACAAATTATCATGCCAAGGCACGCTGCAGTGAAGAATTGGTACACAGCAAGATGCTACTTGACAGCAAAAGACATGAAACAAATTGCATGCATGAGGTGAAGCGTGATATGTGATTTTAATTATTGTTAAACTACAAATATCCAGAATTATGAGAAAGAATGGACTGAAACAGATAGCTGAGATGCTGCTGTTGACTATGCCAAAATGATGAGCGGAAACAGTATGAACACACACACACACACACACACACGCACACTGCTCCCAGAAAAGACCAAACAGAGATGGACAGCAGTGAATGAGAAGAGTAAACACAGCCACAATCTACAGGCAATTCCCAAACATTCACTTAGAAGGAAAAAACAAAACAGCTATTCACTTTTTTCTTCTAAGCAGCACAATGAATATTTAAAAGATTCACTTCTCACCGAATATCTAAAATTCAAATGGAACCTTTCATCCTGTATCTCTCTAAATATCTTCATAAATACAAGCTGATTTCATCTATTGTAGTACTGAATTTCAGCTAAACTGTCAGTAAATAGTATTAGCTATGAAATATTAGATATTAATTCAATATAATAATTTAGGCTAAGATTTTATCATTAGAGTATTGTATCTGAGTAAGAATATAGGAAGAATTTAGAAAAAAGGCAGGTGCTGAAGAAAACTGGGATTTGGTGAGCCCACACTACCTTCCTGGATCTTTACAGTGTTTTTTACATAAATAGAAACAGTCAGGATATCAGTTTGCATCCCACCTGAAAAAAAAAAAGGCATTTTCTTACAGCACTGAACATGAAAAAAACGGGGCACACGCTAGTACAATACTGAAGGGAAAATACCACTCAACAGGTAATTTCCAGGACCTCCTAAGGCACCCCTTCTTCTCCTTGTATCACTTTCTCATGTGTACGAGGTTTGAAAAAGGAAAACGCTAAGCAATTTTGTTAGACAATAATAAAGCTGACTTTAATTTTCAGGCGATAGCTTGTGCGCGCCTGCAGGCACACGTATACATACATCTCTGCAAGCTTACCTACCCCTAGCAAAATTGGGAAATGATAGCTTTGACAATCCAAACTTCATTGTCAAATATATTTCAGAGGTGACTCGAGGCAAAACCAATATTCTTTATTACTTTGACTTTTCAGAATTGAATAAAATGGACAGGTTTCCTGTATGGTCCATTTTCTTTCATTTATCTCAGGCACTGGCTGCATTATCACTGGTGTAAGCATGGACTTCCACAGTCAAAGAAAATACTGGTTCTAAAAGCAGAGTTTGCACTTAAACCCAGCCCTCCTCTCCCATTCCCTGTGTTTCATTTTCATTTGAACTTCAGTCATTATTTGTACTGCATTATAGACCATTGCAATATTTTATGGTTCTATTAAAATGCTGTCACCATCACTTCTGCAAATCAAAACCTCTAATTATAAATAGTAATAAAAACGCAGGGCAGGAAGTTCTTTGCTTTCCATCTGCTTCTCATTAGATTACTCAACCCAGCCAAATCTATGGACAATTAAACAACACAAGGAGTTCTATGTTTGTAAATTCCTTCATGGCAAAGAGCTTTATGCTGCAGATACAAAATGTCCTAGATGCTCTACACATCATATTTTGATTAAAGAAAATAAAGTTTGCATGTTGATAAGTATGTCTTATCAAGCTCAAATCTAAAACTTCGCATTAATTCTAGATGAAATACCCTGCTAATGTCGAGTAAGGACAAAAGCTCCAAGTGGTTCCTTTTAGAAAAGTCTCTATTCCTTGGGAAAAGCCAATCTGATGTTGCAAACATAGGTAGAGGGAGAAGATTAATTGCTGTGGATATTTAAGTGTATGAGAAATACCCTATATTTTAAGGGTTTAAGCCATAGATTAGGATACGCTAAATGCACAGAATATGGGTGAGGAAAATGCAAGCTCTTCTGCATCATCCCAGCAATGCAATTCCTAGCGAGGCTCTGGAGGAACCACTTGGGAAGATCCAATTTCTCATTTCACAGCAACGCTACTTAAGCCACTCCGGGGGCTCCAGCAACTCTTTGCTGCCCCTGTGCCACCTTCCTGGACTGTGCTGACAAGGCATTCAGCTTGTGCAGCTGTGTGGTAAGCCAGCCCGGGAAACTGAAACTCCTGCCTCCCCCCGCCTTCATCTCCTCACCCCTTCTGTGTTTCATACATCGTTTTTTCTTCCAGGCAGATAGGTTCCTCGAGTTCTCCAACATCACATTCAACATGCCTTAACTATGGGAACCTCCTCCCTGACTGCTTCTAGCTCCCTCCAAGTCACAACTTCTATAACCACTGAGGAAGAGTCTTCCAGGCTTCAGCCTCCGCCATACAAGTACTGTTACTTCCCGAGGTGGAAAAAATAGAAAGCGTAATGCTACGAAGAAATGGTACCATAAATTCTGTGTGCAAAGGGAGGGCAGGGGGGGATTGCAGAAACAGCTGCAACATTCGTTCTAGCAATCCTTACATCTGAAAGCTCATTAGTGTTCTTCTAGAGCAGTCTTTTGTAATTGTACACATCGAACAACTACCAGGGAAGGTCAACAGGGACAGCCTCATGACTTTCAATAGGCAATATCTTTCAACTTATTACTTTTAATAGGACTTGGGCTTTTGGTATCAACTTTGTAACAAACATTTCCCAGGATTGAAAGAGGAAATCCACCCCCTAGCGCGTTGTTAAAGCCAAATAGAATCTATTAATCTATGCTGCTTCATTATCTCTCACTAAAGCATAGCAAGAAACTACTCACTAGCAGCTCATGACATTTAATTGCCTGAGCCATATTTAATAATAAGCACTTGCTTATGATTGTATCTATCAGCCTGGCCTGTATTTAGATTTAAAGTTGCCCCTGCCTACATGCTTTAAAAGTGACCGATCACAGTATTTAGAGATCAACTTCAAACAAAAGGCAGATACCGGATTCATGGAATGACCACCTGCTGCAGCGCTTTGGATTGCTAGTCATCTCAGTGACACGGATTCTAGCAAATACATTTGCATGTTCCCAGGAATCACAAAGGCTGGCAATACCAATGGCTGAGAAAACTATTTCCCTCAACTGTCAGCTCTTTGAAGCATGCAGATGAACGCAGGGCACCGATAGCTTAGGGTGCTCGTGACTTTTTACCACCGAACCAGAAGTTCCAAGCTGTACCACAAGATCTGAAAAAATGCATTTCCCTTAGTGAAAGTCAAACTTCTGAATCGCATCTATTGGTTTTAAACTATCAAGTCACCAATCTTGTAAGATAAGGAACATCATTAGAATAGAGAAAATAGATGAAAAGAACACCAGTTATCCGGCCTTCCAACTCAACTTGCCGGCTGCATAACGTTTTAAGAACGCAATTTCAAACTGCTTCTCTTGATACAAAAGATATACAGATATATCTTTATATATATGAATATACAGGTGTATTTTTAAAAAAACCGGAAGAATAAAAAAAAAAGTTTCACCACCAGTAAATTCTGCAGGGATCTCAGTTATGCCAGCACATCTAACTGGAATCACTTCCAGTATATACTAGGATGACAGTAGAATCAGACCCAAGATCTCATTTGCTATTTATTTTTCCTTTCATCAGCAGAGCTTGGTCCTAATTTGCCTGTATTTCATACAATACAAAACTGTCCAGAAGGCAGTAGGAAGGAGATGGAGTCATGTACCCAGAGCAGAGCAATTAGGATTCCAAGTTCTGTTATATCCGACTTTCTCCATCAATCCCCAAACAGAAAGAAGCTTCCAGTACCTAATTAATCTATTCCATCTCAGTCAGGATAAACATTTTTGGGTTGCCTGTATGTTCCGTATGAAAAAAACCTAACATTCAACACCCTCTGGACACTAAGAACTGGGATGTCTATAGGAATCAATAGTTACAGATTGCTGAAGGAATCTTAAATTCTTACAAGCTTAAAATCTTTCAAATCATGCAGGAGATGGACATTGATACTGGCTTACAACACACCACAGATGAAAGACATTCAACAGTGGCAACTATTCAGAGAGAGGTAATGTGTGGATGATCAACACATAGAAAGGATAAGATGGTATGTATAAAGGATGATCAACACACAGAGTCTAACATGATATGTATAAAGGAGATATTAAACATGGAACACCAAAAAGATAACTCCTTTTTATTTCGCTGCAGCATAAAACTTAATACACATACCTGGTTTTGGCACAGAATTGGTCACGGACTGAGGAACTTTGTCGTTAATTAGCTCAACACACTCACTAGGAAAAAATCCAACCTGTAGTAAAAACAGAAAGAGAGGCAGAATATTGAATGTAGTGTTTTTAAGATCCGAACTGTTAAACCAGCAACTGTTAAACATTTTCCTCGAATTCTGCTTGCCTGATGCTCCATAGCATTATCCAACATAAAATGACCAGCATAAGAGAAATGATTTTTCAAAATGATGCAGCCAAAAATGCTACAAACCAAATAATTAGTTCTGTAAAATACGGTTATAAGTCTGTTTTCTAAGCTTGGTACACAGGACAGAGATACTCAACTTGCAACAGAGAGGGGAGAGGACAAGTGTGCTACACACCCTTAAATCTCAAGTGGAACTCGAGAGAGAGCCAGAAAGACTTTAGCCGGGTTTCCTGCAGCTGGCTGCATGTATGTAACATGAAATTTAATGAAGAGAGCAAGATGTTTCAGCTCTTAGCATCTCAATTATCTGTACTCAAATCTCACCAACATTTGACCTTTTTTCACCATCAAAATACTATATTCACAAGCATTTTAATACTTTATTCCTTTAGAAAACTCAAATCAAGTATGGGTCAATATATTTGCATGTCTGGATGGTCCCATTACAGACAAATGCATATTCTTGTATGATAAGTTAGAAGAACTTTGAATGCACAAAGCTCCCTACTGTGTCCTGGCCTTACTGCGTGTGCTTGATCTGATGAGCGTGGGTAATAAGTGATACTCCTGAAGGATTCAAATTAAGCGTGTTCAAAAATCTTGCTAAAAAAGTTCAATATGGTTTTAGTTAAACTGAATTCGGTTCAATCTTAGAACTGAGAAGAGGTTTAATAAAATATACATAGAGCAAAATGAGTTCTACATTTGTAAGTAAGAACCCAGTAATTTGACTAGAAATAAACACAAGTATTTTTAGAAGAAACAGTATAATGTAGCAAAAAAATCTCTAGCAAGAGCCAGAACTCCTGGTGTGTACTCTCGTATCCGCTTCTGAACACGGACAAGCCAGTGCAACCGTTGCGCCTCAGTTTCCCTATCAGCAAAGGACGAGGGATAATAGTGCCACATATCCGTTACTGAAAATTGATTTGAGAGAACAGCTGACAAACATACTGCACGGGCTGTCTAACCGTTACGATTTAGCTGTGTATCTGCTAATCAAGCTGAAACAGAAAGAATACTCCAGAAACAAACCCCAGAGGCAAGACTCTCCTTAGCAAATATTTGAAGATGCTTCAAAAGCAATGACCCACCCTGGGCTACCACATAGCAGTGCTATGCAAAAAACGTTGACAACCACTGAATGCAGCTTCTTCTCTGCTGCCAGCATCACTGACAACGAAGACATCTCCAAGTGCCCAATTCACAGCAAGGTCCTGTGACTCATTTATTTTCAAATGCTAATTTGCAGCGTTCCTGCACTGACCTTTAACACGGCATTTTTCCCTGCATCCCCTCTAACTCAGAAATGCTGGAGAGACTGTCTAAATCAGTGTAAGGGTTAAAGACTAGAGCATGGGGAGGATCTTAATGTTTTGTTGGAATAGGATGTGCCTGCAGAAATTCACATGCCACTCAAAGGTCCCCGTATCTGGGGACAAGTGAAATTATTTCCCTTTCACTGTTTAAGGATTCAGGCTAAGATGGGAATTTTACACTTCCCAGCATCCTAACCTTCTCCCCACTTCACAGCGTCTTCCTTCTTACTCTTGTCCCAGGTGAAAGTCAAGCCAGACCAACTTTTGGCAACTTTTACCCTTAGTCCGTATTTCCAGACCTTTTTCTCTCTCATATCCTACCTCCTCACCCAACACAGCTTCTGTATTGTGACATGTAATTCAAGCCCCACCACCCTTCCGAGACACCCCGCCGAAGCCAGCGGCAGGATTTCCTGTCCCGTGTCAGGCATGTGATTTGGACAGCTGAAAGCATCAAGTCACTTCACGCAGCCACGGTCTGGTCAAGTGCTGCAACAATGCACGGCAGAGAGCCAGGGGATGGGCCCCAAGCTCATCTAAACAGAAGAACCGGGCCAGGACCGCTGCCAGTCGTCTTTGCACATCTATGAAATGCATTGGAGCCACAAGGCAGTCAGCACTGCGAGTCTGGCAAACAGCCCCTTCTCGATTTATTCTTCTTACACAATTCCCTTTTGTCTCCAAGGGAAAAGGAAAAAAAAAAAATCTCCTTCCTACTCCAAGTTGATTTTCACCCATAAAACTTCCAAACCATTTAGCAGCAGTGTCATGCGTGGTGTGTCCAGGTAAACATTCCAGATTCTGAAACTATTCCAAATTCCCCCAGGGAAGCAACAGTTAACAGTAACACCAGAAAACGCCTCCTTCCCACACCCCCAAAATCCAGCAAGGCAACGTTTTGTCCAAGCAAGAGGACAAACTGTAATCCATCATACTTAATGTTAAAGACTCGGAATATGCTTTTTGTTAAGACTATGACAGCACGGGAACAGAACTTGTGGCAGCAGCACTACGGGTCAGTAGACCTCGCCTCTCTGATCTATGGTTCCCCGTAACGGAGACTGGCCTGTGCATTACACTTCTGCTCAAGTGACTCACAGAACAGAAGAACCCATCCAAAACCCAAGATTATGTATGGCTTCACCCAACCACTCACTCAGCTGGGCGTGCCAATTTTGCAAGGAGATGATATCCTGGAGTTATATAATGCAGCGGTGTTTTTTGTGCAGTTTATAGATAGAAAAATGCCGATGAGCACTAGAAAACCAGCATGAACACTAACATCACACACCGGGGCCCTTCATCAGGCAGCTCATAGCTCAGTGACGCTGCTTTGCTAGGAGATGTTGAGAAACGGGCCCGATTGGTACATACAGAAAAAGTACTGGTCTTTAAACAAAACACATTATATGGTTTTTAAATACTTCACTATAGCTAAGAGTCTCTCTTGGACATTTCCTGTGCAAGAGATGCAGGAGACAATTTTTAACTTAGGAAAAATGTCCACATCCAGTGAAAGTCTCAGCCCCATCACACAAATGATACATGTGGGAGACTCCATAGCTGAAGTGATATAGTTTCTTGCATTCTCAGTGCTTCGGGAACTTTTTTAAATTGCCCACAACATGTATGCCTGAGATGTGTAAAGAAACCTGAAGTACTTGGACACCAACCTTCCATTAATCATAATGAAAAATGGTGGATCTAATTCCAACCCAAAATCCCATACTGTAATCAAAAGCTCGTTTGCCTTTGATTGTTAACATAATGTTTCTCCTGTTTCTGGATGCAATATACAATGCTAAACATGGATTTAGAAATGAAGGAAGACCCAAGATGGTTATGTCTCTGCTTCTAGATATTTATTCCCAAATAAAACATGGTACCTGTTCTCAGTGTATCCTTTTTGCCATGTTCACAACCAATAATTATAATGGATTTTTTAGGGAACGAGGATTTTTACTTGTGCTAGCGTCGACAAGCTCTCTGATGCGAACTTACTGGTAATAGTTCTGATGGCTTACATTTTCTGACTTACTTATTCTAACTTTTCTTGCAAGATCCCCAAGAGATCATCTTGAGGGTCATAACCTATAACTTGTGCCTCATTCCCACCCACTTAAAAGATGCTGCTTTTCCTCCCATGGGAAGTTTTCCATGATTTTGTATAAATAAATGAGTTTAGTCCAAGAGTTAATCTCAACAGATGTAGCAAGGCACTATTAGAGCTTGAGCCAGGATTAAAGGATTTGGCAACGTACGAAAATTAATAGCAAGGGTAGTATATCTTTAGATAAATACAAGGTCATCTAAAGGTTAAAAGATCACTACACACCTTAACCAGAGGAGGAGAGCACAGGCTACTGTTGTATGCAAACATTTCTGCAACAGCTACTACATCTTTTTTTCACTTTTATGCCAGCGTCTGCTAAAACTGGAAGATATATGAGGCTTTAAGGGGAAAAGTCAAAGTAACAGTAATAATTTTCAGTGTATGAGGAGGGAATTCAAACAAATGAGAAAGCAGCAGCAACATAAATGACAAATGAAACATTGTTTGAGCATTTTGATTGTTTTTTGGGTTTGACATAGGCTAAAGTATGGGTTAAACGTCATTCAAAGATTTTTGTCTTTTAGTTTTAAATCGTGATAGGCTAGCAAAACCTAACAGTGAACCATCAACTTTTTATTGCTTGTTTGGCTGTCACGAGCAGAATTTTCACTGTGCTGTTTGCCAAGTAACTACATAGCAGTGGCTAGGGCAGAGAGCGGGGCACGCTCCCTAGTTTCCCAAAGTACAGCCGGCATACCAGTGCAGCTCCTGTTAAGAAGGTACTCGCCCATTTTAGAGGGGCACCAGTTACAGGAGGAACAGGATTGTTCGTCCTCTTACCCTGAACTCTTGTAAAAAAGAGCTGAACATCTTGGCCACAAAACTCTTTCTTTTATTCATAAAAAGAACGTCTGTGTGGGATGCTAGATGTTAATTATCCATTCCTGACTGGTACGCCAGCTGTACTTTGAGGCTGGTCAAAGGCTCTTCTCCTTTGACATTCCCAAATGTCGGAGGGGCACACACGCTCCTACGGTGAGAAATCTCCGCTGCTCCACTCGAGAAATGCATTCGCTCCCTCGGCGCTCGCAGCTGGGGACGGCGAGGGGAATGCCAGCGCAGGAGTGCCTGTGCAAACTTTTGCTACGTGCCTACAGAAAAAGGGCAGAGCGGACGCCTGCAGAGCAGGAAACTCGCGGCAAATCAGTTCAGACATAATTTTGCCCAATCTGTTACTGCAGTTGGCGCTGTTCTACAAATGGAAGTGGCCATCTGGCTCAGAAATGACGTCACTGGTGACATGTCCACTGGGCTCTTGCACGTCGCCTGTTTTGCAGGTGCTGTCGTTCACCAGCCAGATGGCTGCCTCTCGCACCGACTTCCCAAATCAATGCACGTGAACCAGAAATCAAACTTTGGCTTCCCATTTAAGGACTGGTGTTTCCAGAGTGACACTAGCCACAAAAATGTGCTCTGCCTTCCCAGGCCATTTTTACTAACTGGTACCCTATGTTCACATCACATACATGTTTTTTATTACAAAATGATGCAGAAGAAAAGAAAATTGCTCCCAACTAACAGCCTGGTTTGCTCCTGACCAATCCAAGGCAGAACATGTCCCTTTTTTGGGAAATCCATTCAGTCTTAAAGCCTGTGTTCAGGTTCAGCATGGAACATGGTTTGAACACAAGGGCCTGCAGTTTCACAACCAGATCAAGCTCAGGTAAGCACAGGCTGATTCCGAAAAAGCCCGGTCCACCCCGGTTATGCACACTCTCGTGCACTGTCTTGTGTCACCTCCAGCAGCTGCGCAGCTTGCTGTTGTGCAGTAGTGCAGCTAATGAAACCATACCCAAAAGACAGAATTATTCAGAAGATCAAAAGGCAGTTGTGCATCAAAAAAGGGCCTGTCCCTAGCGATTCAGCTGTCTGAAACAGAGTTACTGATTGAAAAGACAAAGCATGAAGAAAAAGGAGAACAAAGAGGGCTGGAAGGCTGTTAATGTGGAGGTGGCTGTAATTTAGGTAACAATCTTACAATGAAAGCAGTGACTCACTAAGAGCCTTTGAAAAGCAAAAGGCTTGAGGAAAAATGTCTTTAAAATAATTTTACTTTAACCAGAGAAAATGATAAGAAGCCTAGTGAGTTGTTTTGTTCCGCACAGGATTAAGTGTCTTGCAATGCAGTCATTAGATCAGGTATTGGCAGAACGGCCAAATCTGAAGGATAAGAGAAATGGTGATTCATTCCTGAAGGACAGCTCTGGCTGGCAAAGAATAAATTGACTTCCATGCTGAATCAAAGCTGCAGTTCAAATTGAACATACTTGCAACCTATCTGATTTGCGTTTCTGTTGATGTCTGCAGACCTGCCTCTTGTTCATGTGCACAACACAGAGACACCCCCCGTTCTAATAGACGGGGGGACATGCAGAGTCACAAGCCTAGACATACACAAGTCACAGCTGGCTTAAATGCACAAAACCAGGCAAGTTATTTTAAGTCAAGAAGTAATTTTTTTCCACGTTCGACGAAACCTTGCTCTCCTCCTATCAAGACGTGATTTACAATGTAAGCTGGGGTCCATTTGATAAAATCTTGCTCCTTTCCTAGCACAAAGCAAAAACCTAAGACTTAACACGAACAAACTGTCCAAACATTTGGTCTTTGGACCTTCTCCTTTTATCTGCTCTCAGAATCACAACTATCTGGCAAGACAGTCTTTGTTGATTTATTTTATTAATTAAAATGACTGGATCAACAGACTGCTATCACTTTTACAATGGCTATTGTTCCTAAATGGGAACAGAATTGTTTGCCTATAATAAATGCTTTAAAGGCTGCACAGCTTCATCAGTACTTATACATATTACTAACACAACATGCTTCACCTATACACTCTTTTTAAGTATTCATCAAGTACACTTCTGTACTGAACTGTAACACATCTCTAGGTCTGGTGTATCAACACCAGAGAGAAATTTCCGTTCTCTGAATTCTCTTCTCACTGAAGCGGTTAGTATGGCCAAAAAACTCCGTTACAACAGGAAATGTACTTTTGCTGTACACTCATAGCTTGTGGGCCTTAAACTTGAAACACAGGTTAAAAAACTCTCTCCCTCTTTGTACAATGCTAGAATTTGCATCTCTTGGTAGCTGACGGTGTTTCATGGAAATGAAAAGCCCTGATAAGTACATTTCAAAGAAATGACAAAAACTGTCAATTCACAGGAAAAATGCACCTCTCTGCAAATCAGATCCATGGTTGTGTGAAGAGATATGTTTATGCAGTAATAACTGAGTTAGCATAGCTTATGAAATTACTGCCTGTCAACTGAGAAACAGCTGTTGAAAACCACCTCTGAGCTAACTAGCTTTACTCTGCAGTCAGCAGGAGCAGAAAGCATACAGATGGCCTGTTACCCTATCTCAGCTGACAGGCAGTAACTTCTTAAAACACACTAACTTCATTTTCTGCATTTGTGCAAACACATCCTGAGAGCTACCGAAACATCTATTATGGCTGCTGCATTTCCAATAGTGCGGTTCAGTGGCCATGATCTGATTCACATTGTGAAAGACTCTGGCTTACAATTTAAGACGCAAGATTATTCCACCCCTAATTTTCTGTTAAGCAAAAATATGGTGCTCGATTTCTGCAGCTGTTCAGATCTGTTGTGTCAGTAGACTGACTGTGCACGGATACAGACAAAACCCTTTTCAAGCCGTTTGCTCATCAACGTATCTTTATGCTGGGAAAGCACAATAGGATTGCTCTGATCTGAGAGACAGAAGGCAGTGACAAACTGCAAAAGAGCTCCCTTGCTTCTTGTGTCTTTAATCACCAGTGATGCTTGTCGTATCTAGTCACAATTTCATCCAGCCTGATGGCAAGTAGGGAGCTTGCACTGAATAATGGAAGCTACATCCTGCACGGGGACACCGCACACTTGTAAACAATCAGCTTTGTGCAAAGCGCCTGCGCTCGTGCACAGATCACAAAGTGGTTTTGTTTTGTTTTATTGATTCACTTGGCAGTTAAATGTGGCATAGCCTGACCATTCCAAGTAGTACTAAAGCATTTCATTAATTTTTGATAGTACAGCAAATACAGCTTTAGGGCTTCTAAGATCAGAACAGAAGTCCCACAAAGACATAACACAGTTCAAAACTAGAAGAAGAACAGTCAAGTTTGTTCAAGAAGTATCGGTATGGTAACTCGAGAAACAAATTTCATTTCAGAGCAGGTATCATATGTCCACGCTGCTCCGATTTTACAAATGAGATATTATCTGAACTCCCACATCTGATATGAAGCCAACAAAAGCTGTATCTCGCGTGCTCTGGCTAATCAGGCAGAAATGTAATTGTCTAACTAACACTCCATTCAGATGGGATTTGTAGTGTTTGGAGATCCAACTGCACACAGTCCTGATATTAATGACAGCAGAACCACAATCTGGATCTGGCACAGAAAGGTCCGTCAGGGAAAATCTGAGGTACTTTAAGAAGACTTTCCAGGCCAAAATACACAAGTGTCTGGTCAATTCTGACCCTCTCCAGAGCAAACTCGTAATTCCACCCACTCACAAACAGCAACCGCAGTATGAAAATCCCTCTTACTTGAAAGGAGCTGAAACATGAGACACTACAGTGTGAGGAAGTAGAAAGTTACCCCAACCTTCAGTAGCTTTTGGGTTTTGTTTTGTAAATGAAGACCTTTTTTTTTTTATTTATTTCCTAATCAGAAAATCCAAGCTATAACAATAGACTTTTGGAAGGAAAGTGCCATTCCAACGCAAAAGTTTTGGTTCCCAATTCCCAGGTATGTTTAGGATCTTTTGAAAATTCAGTCTAAACCTCTCTGCTATAACATTTACAGAGATCAGTAATATTAACACTACACCATAATTGTAGACATGAAAGCACAGATTATTTACCACCACACGATAATTGTAGACATGAAAGCAGAGATTATTTGGGTGGCTTGTCCAAGTCAGTGGCAGTGTCTTATCAACTGGCTTTCTCTGAATCCTCTATGTTCTGCCTGATCTAGTTTTAGACAGTGGAAGGAATGAGATGGTTTGAATAACAGTGTCTTGGAGGGGCTGCAACATAAGCTTCCATAACATCAGGCCAGCTGTCGATCAAAGGGTCATGGCTATCCCTAACTCGCACAGTTAGGTAGGGCGATAACTTCCTATGAAGACCACGTGTCTGCTGTAGCCCAAGTCCAGAGAGAAAGGGGAAGCCCTCTTACACCAATCCAGGGACACTCTGCTTTTATCCGTGAGTAATCCTGGGCAGGCACAGCAATTCTACGAACACATTGATGAGTTTCCTGCCTTTACTGAAGCTGCACTATCAAGTCTGATGCTTGTGCCTACCTGAAATCCATGTTTGCCTCTCCACCAGGTGGTCAGCTCCTTTGGTGGCATATCAATAACAGACACTATGTCTCCCACCTGCAAAAGATTGGCAACATCAATCACAGCGGGCAATGTGGCTAGGAGGAAAGCACAATTCCAATAACTGCATTCTTCAGCACTGCAAAAAACTGTACAACTTGCGAGCACCTGTAACAATGCCAATCTTGAGACATTTGCCTTTGTAAAATCAAACTGTGAGGTAGAAGAGTTACTGCACTATACAAGATACAGGATACAGCTGTTCATAAGGAGACAATTCTCAAAAGCAGCAGGCTCTCTGCCCAAGGGTACAGAAGCGTTCTGATTAAACTGCAGACATAAGTAAGCAGTGATAGCATGAAACACTTTGGAAAATATTCTCAAGTAGCTGAACTAATTTTTACTACATACCCTATATATGTAGGCATCGACATATGTCTTCTTGTTTCCTTTCATAGCAAAAAGTTAAGAGCTCCCTTTGTAGTTCACAAACTGACCAAGATGTGCTTTTCTTAATTAGAAAACGAACAGAGCAGGGATGATGTGGTGTTACAGCAACAGGAAGGCAAATGACCAAGGAGACCAAATAGGTTTTCCGAAACTTTGTTCATTCCCATAAAAAATGTAACACTGCAATAGTTCAAAAGGAAATCAGTATCATCAATACTAAATTTGGCTTGGTGGGAATCAAGATCTGTGTGGCCTCTATTATTGAAATTGAGATAGGCCAGAGTAGAAGGGGCAGAACCTAAATAAATATTGCAGCTGGGTATAGCAAAAATTGTTAACAGTAATGCCCAACTTTCACCAGATGTTTTACACTGATGGATCTCAAAGTGCTTTACGAAGAAGATAACACATCCCTGTTTTTCAGATAGGGATAACTGAGACACAGGGAAGGGAAGTGATTTCCTCCACGGAATAGCAAACCAACAGCAAAGCAAATTTCCATTAAAGAAACCGCTGTCACCACAATGAGCAGAGAAGCCAGGTATTTTCCTCAGTATCGGGGAGCAAATGCCAGTCAGCCACTTGTGCAATTGCCTATTAGAAATTAACAACAGCCTAAACATAAAGAGATAGTTTGGGTTAGGGAACAGAACGCAGCATCGTAAAACAACTGATCATATTCCACTGCTGTTCTGCCAAGGTCTCTCACTGCATAAACTTGGAAAGCCACACACGTGCCTTAGTTTCCCCGCTTGTATACTATGCCTCATAACTTGTTGGGCTGCATGACAGTTGCAAGGCCAAGTTAGCCTGCTGGCACAGAGCTGTAAGATTTACAGGCAGGGAGTGCCATCTCAGTGCTTTTATTAATACTGAGACACTGACAAACAGTGCATGCATTTTAACTTGGAAGATGACATACCCACATGTCTTTCTGATTAGCACGGTTCTTTGGTGTACACTAATAATTGCCTCGATTTTGAATGTCAACAAAACCCTGACAGCACTAGACTATCACTATTATTTTTACTTCCTGCGCTGCATGCTAAGAATGTGATCACAAAAACTCCTTCGGGCACTAACTGTTGTCCTTTACACTTTTTTGTATAACACTGTGAATACTCCGTTGATACTACCACTGCACATAAACAATCAGAGCATAAAACGCTGCTTTCTGGATAGAACAGAAAGAGCCAGATATGCAAAGACTTCCAGGGTCTGATCTTCCAGATCTTGCTCCACAGCAGCTCCTACTCTGCATCAAGTAAGATTTTCAGAACAGGTTTAGATTATCACCTGCCCTTTAAGTACCAAAGTCTTTGATAGTCTGGTTCTTTACTTTTCATGGGAGCAGAAGCTCTTAAAAATGTTTTTTTTAGGCACGGACCTGCTAACAGGAACACAGGTTGTGTAAATTGGCCAATGAATAATTAAATTGGCATGTGTCCACATACGCACATATGCGGACAGTCTTCCTGAACAGAGACAACATACTTCTAATACACTGTACAGTACGAACTATGCAGGGTCTGCTGCTGCTCAGAGACCAGGCTAGAGCACTTGGCAGTTATCTGTTTAATCGAAAGACACTAATGCCAAGTAAAGCTATATTTTAAAGATGACCGAACTCCTCCCTGTACCCAACCCATTGCAAATCGAATATTTAACTGAATCTTCTAAGCTTCACCTCATAAAACATTCTGAAAGCGTCTGAATATACTCCTGATGCGCACACACGCACAGAGACACACACGTTACACTCTTCTGTGTATGACAACAAGGAACGTAAGCTCCTTTAATTATTTACCTCAAAGGACAGTTCGTCTGCTGCTTGAGCAATATATCTCTTAATAACATGGGCAGCAGCAATAGCAGGAACGTTAATGGATGATTCCTCATGGACCAGCAGGTGGTTCCCCTTGTTATCAATCTGAAAAAAAGAGCACAGGAGACCGTGAGGCAGCCGAGGATGAGTGAGGCGGCACTTTATCGGTGCTCATACGTGGCAGAGACTTCAGGCTGATTCACAGAGACAGCATGGCTTGGGGGCCCCCTGAGGAGAGCAGCACAGAGAGACGGCGTAGGGCACGGCACACACAGAAAGGAAGAGGAAGAACGATTCACAAAGAGTATTTCAGAAGGTCGTATGTCCCCATCCAACTAATGAGAAAAACGCTGCATTTGTGCATCTTTGTGTACAAACAGTAACGCGACAGTGAATGTTTACACCTCCCATTAACACCAAATCGTATCGTTTTTCCTGAAGTGCTTAAAAGGGCAATACAGAAGGGACTACAAAAATTCTCTGCGAGGTGGAATTAATGCTGAAGAAGAGGCACTTAGGTAAGGAGGAAATGCTGTCAAACCGAAAAAAGTGTCGCTTTCAATTTTCTCCCACCCTTTTACTTCCCTTTTTAAGAAAACATGGCTCCCACCCCTTGCTGCAATCATCAGCCTACTTTCAAAATTCCTAGATTTTTGTGCTCGTGTAAAATTTTGTAAGATTCTCAGTTAATCAGAAAGGTTATTCTGTATTGCATGTGCAATAGGTTTGCTGTAATCTCTAGGTCCACTGTGTTGCTATAAATTCTACAGTTTCATTTTTGTCTATTACTTCCTTCCTCCCTTTGTGCTGAGAAGGTTTCCAAGATTTTTCTCATCCCAAAGGATTTCAGGGTGAGAAGCATATCGGTGGAGAAAATTGCAGGAAAATGCACTCAATCCTTATCACATCCATTTAAAAATGAATTGCAACAGTCTAATAATAGTTGTTTCTATTCCTGGTGTGCAGCAATATCATCAGGCAATGGAAAGACACACATATCTCTACCCAGACTAATCAGCAACGGCAGCGCTGACACAGACAGGTGGCCTTGATCACTTAGCCCCATTCTTTCCTGCGCTCGTTGCCCAATAAGGTCTATTGTTTAAGATGGTAGAAGACCATTAACAGAGAAACCAAAGCTGCAGCTGCAATTCACAATATACAAACAGTGCCACTGCAAGCACAACGCAGGCTCTGTTGAGCCGTTTAACCAACAGTGATGGCAAACAGGAGCAGATAATATTTATTGTTTCTGTAGCTATCGCAAGGAAAAAATAAAAAAAAAAGAGGGCAGACGAACACCATAACTGAGACAGCTCCAACAGTTTTAGAAACTTGCCACGCTTGCAGTATTGCCTTGCCAAAAAGGAGTGTAAGAATGTGTGTGCTTTCTGCAACCCATTACACGGAGACTTCAGCCATGACCTGGACCTTCCCAGGCGGTCCACTGACCCAACCACTGCTTCACTAGAACTGCCACCTCCTTTTATTTGTGAACGTCAGCAGAACGATATTACTTTGGGTGACAAAATCCAAGCAAGAGGGGAAAAAAGCTCCTATATTCTTAACATTGGATCTGATTCTGTTTGTTCTATACCTTTTGTGGCCACCTACATGCCTGTAACAGGGGAATAAAGCTGTTACGATAGCATTTCAGTGAGGTCTGGAAGGATTATACCTCTTTCTGGAAAGGCAAGAGAGCAGATTTGTGGCTTGCTCTGCTGCTAAGGTGAGGAAACAAAGAACAACATGAGCTTCATACTATACCTCCATCCATGTGAGAGCAGGCCCACAGTTTATCTTGTTGCCTGCGATGGCTGAGAGACGTGACAGGTAAGCCATCAGCATCTGGGTGACAAGCTGGAACAGAAAGAAACAGACATACAGTTTTTCTGTTAATATATCATAGTTTGGAGAGACTTCTTCAGACTTGGAGAGACCATAAATTAGCCATTGCCATAGGCAAGTGTTACAGAAATATATTCCCTTTTGCAAGGAAATCTGTCATTTGAAGAAGGACAGCAAACTACATACAGCGTTACAATGATTACACAGAAAAAAGTGTAAAGAAGCAGCTCCCTGTGAAAGTAATAATGTTATTTTTATAAGATATGTAGATTTTCGTAATTTCCCTTATCAAGTTACCTTAAATCTAAAGCCTTCCTCTCATCATGAATTTCACATACAAACAAATCATTTGTATTATGGCCATCGAACACATCTGAGAACCATTTAGTGAAACAGAACACTGGCTGCCATTTCCACCCACTTGCAAACCCTTAAGAATGTGGCAACTCAGGCTGACCCCTTGAAAGAGTAATATTTCAAATAGTAGAAGACGGTTTTAAAAATACACTTAGCAATGTCCCTTCTATAATAGTAAACTTGCTTTTATTAAAGAGAAGCTAGTGACGTCTTTCCAAAGCTTCACAGTGACAGTGTTATAAAGCAGTATTGTAGCCCAGAGTTTGTAGGACTATTTAAAACATTGTTCTCCTCAAACATCTGTTCAAATGTGGTCAATTCAAAATAAAGAATACAGTACGAGACACCACACAGCTGCAGAATTACATTTCACAGCAGTAGAGCTGTTCAACGTTTTTATATCTTTTGTGCTTACAGATATAATGCAGATTTTCAGCCTCATGCTAAAAAGTACGTATTAAATCAGTTGTACAAATAAAGATGTAAGAGATAGGAATGCCAAAAATATAACTTAAAAAAATAAATCCAGGAATTCATTATCCTGAATATTGCTCCTTCTGCTGAATTTAAGAGACTAGAAACTTCAAATTCTCTTCAGAAATAGCCTGCATTAAACCAAAGCAACTAATAAATCAGATTCTCTGATGAGCAATGGGACCACATCATCAACTTCCTATATTCAATGGCAAAAGCCCTGTAGACTTCAGCGGGGTACTGATTTCAGCCATTGTGTATTGCTCAAAAGCAATCAATCCTCGCCCGCTCAGCACTGAAAGAACACAGATTCTGGTTTATAGTTCCTAGATGGATTCTTCTTTGAATGCTTGGAATGGCCTCAATTTCCTCATTTCCCTTTTCAGCTACACATCTCGTGGACAGGCAACATTAGCCTTCCGACACAGCACGTCAAGATTTTTCCGTACTTGTGCTTGATGGCAGGGGGCAAACACACAACTACAGAGATCAGCGTCCTGTGAAATGAAGCAATGTGCGCTGTCGGTCACCGTGATACATGCTCTTCCCGCAGACTGAGGCCGAACGGTTCTGTTACGTTCTACTGGCTCAAATAACCTCTGTGGCCACGCATTACATTGCCTCCCTCTCCACACCTTCTGAAATGATGCAGTCAAGATGCACCTGCTACTTTCCAGAAGATTATTTTGGACATGAATAAATCTCTAAATTATCAACAGGCAAAAAGCCAAAGGAATTCCAGCTCACCATATTCCAGGTGAAGACAGTAAGTCAAGAAATGAAAAATTCCTCTCATTCATTTAGGAAAAAAACCACTCTTCAAGCTTTTTAAAGACCATTTAAATAATGCACTAATGCAAATGCTCTTAAAAAACAGCTTCAGTAATTTTCAGTTCATAAATATAAGTCTTGCATTCCAAATGGTATTACTCTTGCAGCGCTGCAGCCCTAGAACAGCATGATTTCCTAGGAATGTTAAGTTGCCAACATTAAGTCAGGAAATACTCACTTCATTGAAGAAGTTTCCAAAGACATAACAAAATTCTTATCTAAGGTACTAACAGGACAGCTTCTTTCCTGACACTCTCCATAACCGTTCCACATTTAGCAGCACATTAATTCATATGAACTTGCAGGGCTTTTCCCCTTAGATCGTTGAAATTAAGGGTAGAAAACACATACTGATCTTATTACTAATGATCAATTTCCAAATCTAACCCAGGCTGCATTAAAAGTGCTTTGTACACACTTGAAAATATCTTCCAAGCCCTTGCTGGTGACTGTGTTTTAAATATTTACAGCGCTGGTAATTTACCTCCGGACTGTCCTTCAGGGCATCGGAGCGGGGTAGCTCTGAGAGCTGGGAGAAGCGCCGGTCATATATACATAGGTGAAGATGTTTATCAAGTACTCTGAAATCTTCATAACTCCGCTTCACGATCCAGCTCCTCCCCTGCATAAGCAGAAAAGAGAATCACACTTTTATGAGCTCCTCACCAATTCGGGTTAGATGAAGAAAACAAAAATTTGTGCAGAAGTAGCAGACAGATCTGGCCATCTTTCTTCTCAAAACATTTGAAAGCGATGCAAGTGCCTTAGTAGCATTTTCATGTTTTAATTTGTAGACAGCCATTCATGCTCAAAGCAGCTGTTAGCATTCCTGTTTTAATTATTTAACTGTGGGTTTGGATGTGGCCCAGCATTACGAGACCTACCCAAAGCTTTTAACTTCCACCTGTCTTACAAGGATTTTGTAGCATTTTCATACACAAGGTGTCTTTGCACAAAAGTAAATTAAGAAATGGATGTATAAATAGCATGAAATTAGATAGAAGAATATACAATCAGGGATCTGAAGGCAGAATTGAAGCTTGCAAAATTTCTGTCAGACGCCCCAGGCACATCTTCAGTTGAATTAAAAAAAACAATCTATGATGAATAACACTAGCTGAAGATTTACTCCTGAGTGCATACCATTTCCCCAATTAAAATATCGACAAGATACATACTGCTTCAGGGGACAAGGAAGGGACCATGGCAGCACAGCATAATATGCTTTGTGAAGCTTTTAATATCTAATGACTACTTCTAAATGCTTCATAGCCTGTTATGATCAATAAAAAATGTAATAATGCAGCAGTTTACAGGTCAAAGCACTTTATGAACAGTCATTAATCCTCTCAACACTCCCACGCAGCCCCTAAAATGAGACTATTCCTGTTTTACAGATGTGGACACTGACTCAGTGACCATGGACCTCCACAAAGCTTCCCCACCTTCTATTTCAAGTGCAAAGCACTTTTTCAGTCTTTCTTTCCTAAAATCAACGGTATGGCCATATTTAAAAAGAAAAAAATTATCAGCATTACACACTCTGCTTCACACTCCACATGCAGTTGTCTCCCTTGGGAAAGGATGAGCAAAACAACAAAGCATGCAAGGGATGTTAGCCGTGCTGTACAAGCCCAGGTGCTCCTGCAGCACAGCAACGCTAGCAGCGCAAGGACTCGGAAGAAGGCATCGGAGGAAGGAATTAGGCTGCTCCAGGTTACACGGCCACTCAAAGGCAGGGCCAAGGATTAAAAGCGACAAAGGGATGCCTGGCAACCAGCACAGCAAGCAGGGAAATGCATGGTGTAAGAGGAAGGAAATATATACAACAAGGAAACGCATGGTGTAAGAGGAAGGAAATATATACAACAAGAAAATGCATGGTGTAAGAGGAAGGAAATATATACAACAAGGGAATGCATGGTGTAAGAGGAAGGAAATACATACACCAAGGCAAGGCATAGTGTAAGAGGAAGGAAATATATACACCAAGGGAATGCATGGTGTAAGAGGAAGGAAATATATACAACAAGGAATGGTGTAAGGTAAGAGGAAGGAAATACATACACCAAGGAAATGCATGGTGTAAGAGGAAGGAAATATATACACCAAGGAAATGCATGGTGTAAGAGGAAGGAAATATATACACCAAGGAAATGCATGGTGTAAGAGGAAGGAAATATATACACCAAGGAAATGCATGGTGTAAGAGGAAGGAAATATATACACCAAGGAAATGCATGGTGTAAGAGGGGAGACGTCGCCAGGGAAAGCAGCTGTGACGCGTGATCCCAGATCTGCTGTACGTGGCTGTCAGAACTACACCTGATGCCCTCTTCACCTGAGCTACAAAAAAGCATGGCCTATTCCGACTTCCCAATCGCAATTCTGCTATATTCGTTTGTTTTTCAGGGAAGTTATAAGCATCACTTTTACATTAATATCCCAAGTCTGCAAGGCAATCTTAAATGTGAAACCTATAATCCAGCGTACCGGCTATTTTCTGTCAAATTTATTTAAGACAACTCCAGATCGTGTACTGTGCCCATAAATTCTGCTTTCGCATCACAGGAAATCACCCATATTTCACAAGCCTGCAAAGCAGGTATCTACACAGGACATAAACGCTCTGTAATTTCCATAAGTTATGTCATTTTACTTTTTGTCGAAAGGCGAAAAACAAAAACAGGAGTGCAAGTCTAATTATCTTCAAAAAGATGACAGCCTTTCCAATTTCGCCACCTTTTGCAATTAAGTGGTTCTTGCTCTCTTCATAAGTTGCCAGTATGACCTTCAGCTGAGCAAGGTTTAGTCACCAATGTAAGAAACAACAGACCGAGAAGTCGCTGCAATCCTTTATTTGCTTCTGTCCGCTGCACTTAACAGGACATTTCAATACAATCTTGTACACTACCCACGCAAATAACAAACCTATTTGTCAAATGATGGTAAATCTGTCATTAATTCCATGATATTTTAACTTAAAATGTTGGAGTGCAGATTTGCCGTCTCTTTTCATCATGAATTAAGACACTAAGTTAAATTTACAAGACAGGAATAGTTGGGGTCAGCAAACTACTGGTCCATGTGACGGGGCGTGCAGGATCAGCTGTGGAGAGAACGGACCATACAGCCAGCGTTCTCCTTGCTGCTGCTGAATCCCGTTCTACACCATCGCAGTAACGAGGCTACTGCTAGCCAGCACGGAAGTCGATTAATGAGGAGGGACGGCTTACCTCACGACAGCAGCGGTGTTTCTTGCCCCACCGTCTCTCTGGGAGGTTCTTCCTGCGCTGCAGGACAACTCGCGGAGCGAGCGCGGTGCGGAAAAGTCACCCAGAACCAGCGCTCCCGTACCTTCGAACTGCAGCAGTTCGGCAGCTGCTACGCAACCAGCCGAGCTATCCCTGCGAAAGCAGCAGCGACCTCCAGGAGAGGGGTGGTGCACGTGCCTGGGGGCCAGAACCGCCGCCGCCATTCCCAGGTAAGTCAGCCCAACGCCTGCAACCGCAGCCCCGGGTTTCGGGCTCTTCTGCAAAAGGATTGCAGGGTACTTGCGGGAACGGGGCTGCCCATCCTTCAATCACGTTCAGAATGACGGTGCGTATGATGCGTTAGTACCGAACACAGCTTCAGGAGCAATAATACAAACTTCCACCCAGCAGAACGTTATCCCAACACCCTAAATGTGAATATTTCCTAATACCCCACCGTTTTAAGTCTGTCATAACTAAATTCAAAAAGCATACATGCTTTCGGTCGTTCTAGAAGTTGTATTAAGCAAAGTTTTTGCAGATTTGGAGCCTGAGTGACAACTTTTTATGCAAAAATAAGACAGCCATATTTACACGGGGTGCAATTAACTTTACAGGAAAGAATCATTGCAGCAATCTAGGAAGGAAGTGGACAACATTCAGTGCTTCCCCTCAGATCTCCAGTACAAATCACAAGAAAATAAAGTCTAAATTCTCTCAGCTAGACTCCCAGAGTTGCACAGCCAAAGCAGCAGAAACAACAGTGACCTCATTCAATATCAAAAATACTACAATGTTTCACTTTATCAATATAAAAATTGTACATCTTGCTCCCATTTCCTGCAAATTCTAAAGTGCCAGAAGGGTTTTGCAAAAGGGTTCTTTTTTTAATTTAGAGAGTTAATAAAATAGTAGAAACAAGTAAGTGACTGTTAAGTTGGTCTCATGTTGTCAACTGTGTTTTATAGCAAAGCTAAACATTACTGGTGCTTCGGGCACATAATATCCATAAGGCAAAAATGCCTTCTTCACATTCTTAATGATTTCCATAAATTGTTGCGCAAATAAATTTTTGATCACCCTCTAATTTTCCAATTCAATAATTTCTTTTCTATTCCTTAATTACTGATGGTCCTGATTTAGAGAAGCACATGCTTAAATCCCACTAATGTCAATAGGACATAAGAATAGAGGGGAAGTTAAGCACACAGTCAAATGATTTCCCAGATTCAGACCTTCAGTTACAAACCCGGGTATGACAAATTTCATAAAAATAAAAAAATCAAGTCTCAAATGAAGATTTCAATAGTTTCACAACCTTTAAAAGGAAAAATTGACCACTGACAAAAATAATCCCTTTTGAACAAAATCAACCACAGAAACGTTCACAACGAAAAGCATCATGACAAATATGGAATTTCTCACAAAATGGAAAACCTGTATTCGTTCCTACTCTTATTAGAGTTTGATCTGTTCTCCCTTACTATTGCATGCTGTGTAGGATTAAATGTATGATGAAAGACTGGTGAGATTTCAGCACACTGCACAGAGTTTCTTTTTTTTTTCTGATTATCAAAGCCAGAAGAAATGTCATGCCAAAAAAAATTATTAGAGATTACTGAACTGATGATTTAATTTCCACCGAGTCAGAGATTTGAACCTTCCATTAGTAAAGCCGTTATACCGAGATCATAGGTCGTAAAAAGCTACTCAGGCTTGACATCGCATGAGACAAGATTCAGAGGGACAAGGATTCAGAACCCCAGCTCCACAAGCAATATTTTACCTCTAACTGGTCAAATGGCCTGAGGACGACACGCAGCCATAGCCGGGAGAAGTTTACATACTCCCTTAAGCACAGCCCATTTGGTGACACTTGGAGCGAGCAGCAGGATCACTCCCTGTTCCCCTTCTTCCCAAGCCCAACACGCAGCATGAGCGTTGCAGCTGGTGATGGTTTGTTTCATTACTTACAGAAAGACATTACTTACTGCAGTACTGCTTGGTTACTGTTGGACTGGGAAAAGCAAATTTAAGAGGAGGGTGTTTTAAAACATCCTTTGCATTTTCATTCCCACAGTTAAAAAACCCCACCTTTGCTCCATCATCTCTTACACCCTTCAACTGACCAGTACAAAAACCTTACTCATTTCTAAGAGGGGCTCCCGTAAGCTCAAGGCCAGTTCCATACCGGAATATTTTTCCGTGGACTTAACCGTTTTCACTTGGGATCTGGCAAGAAGCAATTCTTCCCCTGTTGTGCACTGTCAATGGCTTGCTCGGAGGCATCCAGCTAACACAAGAGAAGCGAACAGGTTCATCTCTGCCAATATTTGTGAAACAATTAATTTAGAAAACAGAATATGCA